ACCTCCTGGATTCAAGCGAATCTTCTGCCCCAGTCTCCCAAGTAGCTGCGATTACAGGCATGCACCACTATGCCTGGCTAATTTTTGTATTATTCTTAGTGGAGATGGGGTTTCACCATGTTGGCCAGGCTGGCCTCAAATTCCTGACCTTGGGTGATCCGCCCACCTCAGCCTCTCAAAGTGCTGGGATTACAGGTGTGAGCCACCACGCCTGGCAAGTCTTGTTTTTAAAGATACAGAATTAGAATTAGAATATCCCATAATTATTACAATAGTCTCAATAACAATAGTAACAACGCTGTACCATTAGTGATGATTACTGAAAACACTTAAACATTTTAACCCCCCATTCTCTTCTTTCCCCCTAATTTTTGGGGTTGTTTCATATTTGCATTATCAGATCATATGGCCTAGGGGTCCCCAACCCCCTGTACCAGCCCATGGCCTGTTAGGAAGCTGGTGGCACAGAGGGCGGTGAGCTAGCATTACTGCCTGAGCTCCGCCTCCTCTCATATCAGCAGCAGCATTAGATTCTCACAGGAGCAGGAGCCCTATTGTGAACTGCATGCGTGAGGGATCTCAGTTGTACACTCTTTATGAGAATATAACTAATGCCTGATGATCTGAAGTGAAACAGTTTGATCCCCACATCATTCCCCATCCCCCCACCCCCATCCCCCCCGTCCATGGAAAAATTGTCCATAGATTGATAGTCTCAGGTATGTGATGTGCTTTTTAATTAATTTATTTTAATTTCAGGAAAATTGTCTCGAGTTACGTATTTTAACATTTTTCTGTCCCCTTCACTTGGTTTTCTTTATCAGGAGTTGACTCCTCTTCTCCGTTGACTGGATCTTCTTTGCTATTCTCAGTATTTGTCCCTTTCTCTGAGTTCCTTTTTATCTTTTTTCTTTTCTTGATTTAAAAAAACTTATCTTTGTCACCTCATTTCTTTTCAGCATCTTCTGTTTTATGTACTGGCCTTTGTGTTCCTTCTAGTTTAGTTTTCATTTCTAACATTATGTTTTAATATTATTTCAGGTCTTATATCATTTTTAAAGGACTTTAGTTCATTTTAAAGTAATATGCTGCAATTTTGATAGTTTTTTGCATCCGTCATTTGGCATGCATTCCTTATCAGTAGGGATGCTCTTCTCCCCCTCCTCCTTTTCCTTCTCTTTCTCTTCCTTCACCTTCTAATCCTTCTTCAGCTTTGTATGAGATTTGACCTGCATGTTTACTGCCACAGAGAGGTTTCTCCTTTCACTTCCTCAGCTGCTGCCACCAAGCTCCTGAACCCCAAGAGGAGGGTGGTCTCAGATGGAGGATGGTCTCGGACAGAGGCCTTTTTGAAAAGGTTTCCTTTTCTCGTGAATAGTGGTGCTGAGTTTGGGGAAGAAGGATTAGCTCATAAGGATTTTCTAACCTTACAGTGCTGGTTCATCTTCTGTTGCGTCCCACAGGGTTAGAGCCATGCAGCTGGCTCTCTGAGATCTCCTGTTTCTGTTTCCCTCCTCCACTTGTATCTGCTCCATCTCCCTCCTTTATCTCTGTTATTTCTATCTGCTCAATTTTTATTGCACTCCCAGCAGTGGAGCCCTGGACAGGTTCATTTCGAGTTCCTAGGGACAGTGCAGCTCCAGCCTCTTCACGCACTGTTCTTTGCACAATATGGATTTGATAAATGTTTGTGGAATGACACAGACCCGTCTACCTCTGGGTTAGAACTCCAGCTGCAAAGCAGGCACAACTCTGGGCTTTCGGTATCACATCCTATTTGCAGTTTATTTGGAAGATATGTGTTTGGGCGACAGGGACGTGCTGTTGGGTCAGATCTGGGAGGAGTCCACCCTCTAGTTGGGGAGAGTGGCTCTCAGCTGCCTGGGCATAGAGATAATGAGTTGCAAATGCAGAACCGGCTTTAGCGTTCACGCCTGCCACTCCAAACCAAGACCAGGGTGGAACAGACTTGGGCAAGCCTCCAACTCCCGGTACCTTTATCTCTTCAAGTCATTTATACAGCAGTCACTTCTCTGCTTCTTTGCCTAGGCCCCTAATTAAAGCAGTTTTCAACCCAAGAAGCAGCCTCACCTTGGCTGATAGAGTTGGACAACTCCTTGGTGGCCCCTTTCCCTGCCCTCTTGGGCTCTGCAGCTCCAGGGTTAAGTTCGGCCTTCAGCAGGGCCACCCACTGAAGCATTTAATGAGGAGAGGAGTATTGTTTCTTGGAGACATAATTACCAGAGACACTTAATGCAACCTTTCCCGAGATAACAGGCCTTTTGAAATGCAATGTGTTGGGGAAGATTTAGCCAAGCTCAGTGACTGCCTTAGCAGTTATGAGTCATATTATCATGCCTACATCTGCCTCCACCAAAAGGCTCTAGGGTCTGTCTCCAAAGTTTATTAAACTTTTGTTTGGGAGACTTGTGCTTGAGACTTAGGGTTCTAAATCTTTTCTTTCATTGTTTTCAGCTGTAACTCACTTTTAAGTGGTTGCAGCCCAGGGCAAAATTTTGAAATTGGTAACTTCCCTTTGCATTCTCCCATTGCTGTAGGACCCGTGTGTTCTGGGTGTTAGGGGTGCAAGCCTGTCCTTGTACTTTATGAGGATTCCCGAAGGCTGCAAACTCTGGATGCAAACACAAGCCCTACTGGGAGAGCATACTTGAGACAGTGGAGGCCTCTTAGGATGTTCGCCTTCTCAGGAACTCCTGTCTCCGAAAAACACAGCACAACAACACACAAAAAGCACTTCTAATGAACGACTTTTATTTAAATGTAAGGAGCCACCTACTCAAAGTAACTCTTAAGGAAATCACTTTGTTAAATAAATATGACTTTTATAATGTGAAAAATGTCTCCCTAACTTATTTAATATTTCAACTTTTTAGCATCACACTGTCATCCTTCAAAGTTGTGTGGGTTTATTTGGTTTTATTGTTTCTTCCTTCCCATTGTCTTCCTCCTCATTTCCTGGAAAGGGAAATTGTTTTCTTCTCATGATCCATGTGGCTTCCTTCCCTCCTCTTTCCTGTCATTGTTTCGTTTTGTTTTCATCTTTTGTCCGCAAGGAAGCAGAGGAAAAATCTTGGACCTGGGAGTGAGAGAGGCCCAGTTTCCCATTCCAGCTTTGCCCTCACTTGCTGTGAGACCTTGGCTAGTTAGTTGGCGTCTCTGAGCCTTAGTTTTCCTCTCTGTAAAATGGATATAAAAAGTTCTGCACCACTGAGTTGCAGCAGGATTAATGTCATACCATATACAGCATGCCTAGTGCCTGCCACCGTGCAGATGCTCAGAAAATACTGCCCTTACTTGGCAGCATTCCTGCCGATGAAAACAGACCCTTTTGCCAAGAGAAATGCTTTGTGATTAGTGCTTGTTCTTGCCCCTGCGCCATGAGCAAGCATCCTCCCTTTCTCCTCCAGCATTGTTGAGGACATGTTTCTTGATACTAATTTAGCTGCAGCCACTAAATCAGAAATTCCCACCCAAAGTCATACCATAAGCAAAAAAAAAAAAAAAGAACTGGGCCTGGATCTTCAATGATGTGGATGGTGGGACTGGGTGTGGGAGGGGAGGCCACTGAGACATCTCTTGCTCCATCCCCTTTCTGAGTTTCATAGATGGCCTCCACTGTTTTCTCTCCAAGCAGTCCCCCTAGAGTCCAGGGTCCACAGGGAGGCCCCCACTTTCTCCTCTCCCACCAATTTCCCCTAAGAGAAGGCGGTCTCAGATGAGGACCCTTTTGCAAATTGTTGCTCTAGAGGCTGAAAAATCAAGCTCGAACCACCTGCTGGTCCTTATTTCCTCCCTGGTCTTCAGTCCCTGCCTTTTTCCTCCTTGTCAGTTTTCAAATGAGACTCCCTGCACCACCGGGAACTGCCCCTGACTTCCTCCCTCCCTCCCTCCTGGCCTGAGCTCTCCTGCTCTTGTTCCTGCTCCTGCGTCCCTCCCCAAAACACTCAGCTGCTTAAATGTCATTTGTGAAACAACAAAAAGGACATGCTGTTTTTGCAGCCTCTTGGGGAACAATTTTTTTGATCCATTTGGTGTGAAGAACAATCATAAGAAATTAATTCAGTGACCCTCGCCAGCCTTAGCCACTGGTGTGGTTCCCATTTGGTGGTTGGTGAGCAAAACATTTTTACCCCAGAAATGTCCACTGTCTTCGCACTTTCACCCTTCCTTCTTAGATTCCTTTGTCTTCCAGGTCCTTGGGTACACGAAGCCCTGCAGTTCCTAGTTCATTTTCCCACTGGGAGAGCCATCGTGATCCAGTTCCTTCACAGGCCTTTGAACCAGATTATTTGGCTACTGGCTAGGGAGGGAATATGGCCATGTCAGGCATACTTTTCCAGTCCGTAAGATAAAAGCACAGCCTGGAAACACAGTTCCCTCCGGAACCCATAAGGCCAACCTAGCATGTGGGAAGAACCCATCAGACTGAGTGGGGACCTACCCTCCAGATTTACCTGTGGGACATAGCACCACTTGGAGGAACTAGGAAGTGGGAGTTCCCTTAGCATATGATCATATCTTCCCTTCAGGCCCCACTGTGCCTGTCGTGTAGTGTGACCATGTATGTTCCCACCTCAGTGGTACCCTTAGCTGTAAAGCTCTTTAGGGCAGGTTCCACATCTGCGTAGCCTTCAGGGGCCCCCAGTGCTGAGAACTATGCCTCACAGGTGCTAAATGTTTGCTGAAAGGAAGAACACACAGAGGTGGGAGGATCATGTGAGTCCAGGAGTTTGAGATCGACCTGGGCAACATAGCAAGATGCAATCACCATGCGCGCGCCAGTTGTGGTCGTGTAGTCCCAGCTACTCAGGAGGCTGAGGAGGGAGGACGGCTTGAGTCTGGGAGGTTGAGGCTGCGGCGAGCCAGGACTGCATCACTGCACTCCAGCCTGGGCGACAAAGTAAGACCCTGTAACAACAACAACAACAACAACAAAAAACCAACAAGCCAAAAAACAAAGGAAGAGCACTTGTATTAACCTAACTCAGAGTAGGAGTAGGGGACAGAGAGAAGTGTTCCCTTTCTCTAGACCTTACCATGTTCTGCCAGAGAAAATGGCACACACACACTTCTGCGATTTTTTAAAAACCCAGAGACCCTTTGGTCATTACTCAGGGTCCAGATGAGCAATTATGCTATGAATTAGAATTGGAATTAGCTGGTTGTTCTGGCCAGAACACCCGATTGTAATATAGTAACTGAATCTTCCCTGTGTATATGAGTATTCAGTCAATCGGACTGCGGTGCTTTGGATTTGGTTAAATTGCCATCGCTGAACACCCCGGATGGAGTTGTTGCTGTTCTGCAGATTCATCAACACAAGCTCCTGGGGCGTCAAAGGTGTCAACAGAGCACCCTGATTACAGGAGTAGATTGGGAGATGCTGTTGTGTCTCAAAATCATCCCTGGCAAATTGCCATCACACTTGGCCATTTAACTTCCTATTCACTTTCAGTGACCAAGGATGAGAATTGTGGGACCAATAGCAAAACCTTTCCCACTTGCCTTCCAGCCATGGTAAGAATTTGGAGGAAACAAAAAATAGCCCAATTCTCATACACCAAACAATATCAAGAGTTCCTGTTCTAATGAGTTGTTTTGACATTCCACTTGACAGGAGGCTGACAATTTGTGGTTTGCAGTGCAAGTGACCTTTTTAAAAAGCGTTCTGTATCTTCATTGACTTTGAACAGACCTTAATTGATGGGTGAATTTGGGCAGAGTTCATTCCCTCCACAGATGGACGTGCCAAATATCACGTGTACTATCTTGGCCTGTAATTGAAATGCACAGTAGATATTACCTCCCTCCATCTTTGTTTTGGGAAATCCCCGGATGCAGAAACATTGGAGTTGTCAATTTCATGTGCGTGGGTCCTTTCCTAAACTGTGAATCCTTCCTCCCCAAAATATTATTCATTAATTGATCTTAAAAATCAGCTGGGAGTTAGGCTCCTTATTTGCACCTCTCGCTTACGTAACACATTTGATACTCTCTTTATCTGCTTTGTCCCCACTTCTGAATATCTCATGGAGGCTGAGCTTTGCCAAACAGACAGGAAGCAAAATTAGAAGCTTTTCCCTGTGCTGACTTCTAAGGGCCCTCTTGGTTTTCTATAAAGCAACCAAAAAAAAAAAAAAAAAGTCGAGACTGGAAGAAGCAAACTTTCAGCTAATTATCATCTTTTTTCCCCTCTGAGCTCAGAGTACTGTTCTTAATTTCCTGACCAGCTTGTACCCCTCCCCCGCTCCCTGCGAGCATCTGTGGTGGTTTCCAATGGAGCCGCATTCCTGCTGCTCTGAACTTCCAACATACCATACCAGTTGGTTTGCCAAACAGTGAACTGCCAGCCATCTGCCATCCAAAGTCAGAATTTACATTGTTTCATCTTAAAATAACGCCTCCGGAATAGCAAGCTACTCTATGCATCAGGTTTTAAAATTGACAATCAGCCAGAATTAAAAACAAATACCAAATGGGCATAAAAAAAGAATGTTGTTTGGGGGAGGGGACTAGCATTTGATGGGGAGTTTATTTTTCAGCATTTTTACCTGATTCACCACCAAAATAGCCATGCCATTTAATTTTATCTGCAACAGCAGGAACTACTTACAGACTGAGAACGTTAACTTTTACTTGCCTGGCTGTAGATGGAAGAGCAGTTGTGCCAGTCTCAGGGAGAAGGGATCACCTCCTAATTCCAGCCTATAGAGAAGGGAGACTTGTCTTTGCCTTCTCTGGCCAGGCCTCCTGGTTCTCAGATGAGAAATCGCAGACCCTTGAAGGTAGAACACCCTGCCCAAGGTCACATGCTGGGTAAGGGAGGAATGATGCTGTGAACCCAGGACTCCTGGCTCCAAGAGTCTCCTTCTGTTCTCCATCCCTCCCTGCCTCAGCGCACCTGCCTTGACTGGTCACTGGGGCTGTGGGACGCCCTTCATCCCCCTTCAGTCCTTCATGCCAAGCTGTAGCAGCCTTGCCTGCCTCATTCCCCTGCTCCTGCAGGACAGATAGGCAGGAAGTGATGTCCATCTTCAGGACTAGGGACACCTGAGGGGCTGTGATGTTTGCTGGCCTTGTGGCCTGTCGAAGGGGAAGAGCAGCCATTGTATCTGGATGGTTTTCTAGAGCAGATGGGCTCGGAGGAGATTAATTTTTTTGAAAGAGAAAAAGAGAAGAGGCTTCGTGTTTCTTTTAGGGAAGGTGTTCCAGGCAAAGGCAGCTTGGGGAAAAGTGTGAAGTTATGAGTGGGCAGAGGAAGCAGAGGGCTCTGAATTTATACCAAAGACACCTGCCTACGGTTTAGAACTCTGTGCCATAGGCAAGCCCATCTCAGTTCGGAAGATGCAAGGGCCCCAGGCTGGTCAGGGCGCTGGGTGGCCCCAAGCCAGGCCTTGTGTAGCCTCTCTGGAATTTTCTTTGAGCCAGCAAGGGGGACAGTGGCAAGCATTACCCTGATGGACTTAGGCATTCCAGAGTCCAGGCCTGCTGCCTGCTCAGCTGGGTCTTGATGACAGGGTCAGCGATGGGAACAGAGGTTGTCTTTTTGTTTGGATTTTGGCCAGACATGGCATCTCCCACTGGAAGCCTTCTCTCACCCCCAGCATTGTCCATGCTCCTGCAGCCCCCGCTTGTACCTGTAACAGTACCTGCCACACCGGCAGGCTTCATTGCTGGGGATGTCTGTTCACCGTGCTAGACTCCTCATGGTCGGCAGCTGTCTTAACTGATCTTTTTGGTCCTGATGGTCCTGAGCACCATTAGTATGTGCTCAACTAATTTCATGAGAGAATCAGTAAATTGCTGAGATGGCATAGGACTTAACTGGCTGTGCTGACCGCCAGACCCAGGGCCGCCAGACCACAGTGTTGCGTCTGTGAAAAGCCACTTTGGGTTGACCTGAGGTCTTGTGATTTTGTTGCATTCTAGTTGAGCCTTAGGATTAAGTAGTCTCCCCTTATTCACTGTTTCGCTTTCTATGGTTTCAGTTACCTGTGGTCAGGTAACTGGAGCCCAAAAATATTGTATGGAAAATTCCAGAAATAAACTGCATACATTTTAAATTGCATGCCATTCTGAGAAGCTTGATGAAATCACATACTGTCCCACTCCATCTGTCCTGGGTTCTGAATCATCCTTTTGTCCAGTGGATCCACGCTGTCTACACTGCCTGCCTGCTAGTCACTTACAGCCATCGTGGTGATCAGTTCGACAGATCACAAGAAGAAGGGCAAGAACAATAAGGTATTTTGAGAAACAAGGAGAGACATGGCCACATAACTTGTATTACAGTATATTGTGATCATTGTTCTGCTCTATTATTATTGTGGATAATCTCTTAGGCAAGTAATTTATAAATTAAACTTTACAACAGGTAGGTACATATACAAAAAAAATAGTACATATGAGGTCCCATACTCTTGCAGGTTCTGAGCATCCACTGGGGGTCCTGGAACATTTCCCCCGTGGATACAGTGGGGTTCTGTATTAGCCAGTTACGGAGAACATGCTTGTGTGCCAGTCACTGTACAGGGTATGTACTATATGTTCTTATTTCATATGATTTAATTTAGTTTATTAGCAATGACCCTGTGAAGTGATGAGCTAACCAAGGCACAGAGGTGTTGACTTTCCCCACCTCACACTGTGAGTGAGTAGCAGAGGCAAACAGGAACTTCAAAGAGCTGTGATTGCAGGCATCCCATCGCTCTGTCTCTGGCGCTAGCTGGGCCTCACTGGCATGCTGCACTTAGTGCTGGAGACAGTCTGAAGTGCCCTCACCCACCGCACAGCCGGAAGACGGTGGCTGAGATGAGGCAGGCCACGTGAGGAAGGCATTCTGCTTTGCCGGAGAAAGCTGCTTTTAAGACTCTGCTTGTCTTTGGCAGAGAGAGGGTGTGCTCACTTACTCCAGGCGACAGGAGGGGACTTGTGGGTGAAGATGGCAATGGGGCCAGTGCTGGCCCATCAGGAAGGGTTTCCAAGCAAGTGGAGCTGCCTGGCGGTAGAATTCCCTGCCCCGCAAAGGAGTGAGTGCCCCACTGCCGCTGAGCCAGGCACAGCAGAATGACCATGAGTCATAGCCATGGAAAGAAAAAGTACCTCGCTGATCCGGATCGTGGGACAAATGTACCTTCACACATCCACTCTGGCTACAAATTTGGTTCATTCCATACTGTGATGATATGTTTTTGAAGCTTAAAATATTTTTAACTGATTTTTACAGAGTGAGTCATTTTAAGGCCTCCCCTGCCCAGCCTTGCAAATCTGATCAGGATAATCCAAATTTATTCTAAAATGAAACAAAACATGAATAAAATGTGCAAATAAGATGGAGTACAACACTATCGTTTGATTTGCTAAAAGATGTCTTCCTTTGCAAAATCAGAAGATGAAAGTGTGACTCCTTCCAGGGGCTGGGGGGGTTGATCTGCATAAGCGCTGGGGCTGAGGTTGCAGGCCACGGCAGCAGGGGGCAGGGAAGGGACCGTGCTCACGGGCAACAACAGAGTGGTGTGGTCCCAGCCCTGGTTGCCTCTAGTGAGGGAATCTCTAGATGCGAGTTTAAAACCCTGCCTGGCTCTCTGGCTAAATGCTGTTTTCAAGATGCACTGTTCTGCAATGAAAGATAAAAGCTCTTTTATTAGTGTAAAACAGTTGTAAAACAGTTTGCATCTGATCCTGAGTTAAAGGCATTACTAAGGGAACCACATAGCGACAGAGTGAATGTCACTTCTTCCATGTAAGATTCGTAGTGTTTGCTGCCCACACGTTTGGACCTGTCTGTCACTTTTCCCTTCTGCCTGGGAGATGGGTCAGTAAATGCAAAAGGGCCTTTTTGCTAATCTAATAGCCAGAAAATCAAGCCAAGGCTTCTCCCCTAGTGATCTCCAAGAGCTTAGCAAGAAAATGAAATTCTTGTGGTTCTAGGAAACAGCTGTGATAACCAGGGACCAACACCCACAATGTATGTTTAAACATTAGGCCTAAAGTCCAAAAGCTAAAAGAACACGTATTAGAATCCAAGCTCAGGATTCACAATGAGTTTGAGGTAAACACTGCATTAAGCTTTTGGAGAAAAACAATTATGTTAAGTAGTGACTGAGTATTTAAGCGTTAAGTATTAAGTTCCAAAACTGTTCAATATTATGTTAACTATTAAAAACTAAAGTGAATTTTAAGTACTGTTGAATTATGGCCCCTTTCGGAGAGTTCCTAAAAAAAAAAAGGAAGAAAAAGTTATGTCTCCCTCTCAGCCAAGAAATAATGTATCTATTCTACACAGCTTATTTGAACGTAGCGTGATCATGGCACTACTGCCTCCTAATGGTTGAGTGCTTTAATTACAGACAAAGTACCCAAAGAAATGATCAAACACTGAAATTTCAAAAGGAAATATAATTACAGCAAACGTAATGCCTGCTACAGAGACTGATTTTAGTAAGTTACTGTCACACCCAGTGAAGACTTTGTCATCTTTTGACCTTTACTTGCCTTTTCACTTGTGGTGCTTCATGCATTAACTCCATGAGAGATTACGAAAAGGGAATATAAAAGGAAGACAGAAATTTACAATATGTCAAAATTTTATTTTAGGATGAAAACTGTCCTTAAAAATGGGGCATAGGTTAAAATAATTATTAATATGCGTTAGGTAATGTTCATTAATAGTTATTCTGTTTGTGCATTATTGATAATGTAATAATTTATTTAACTTAATTACAGCCAGTTAATCCACAAAATGTTTTCTAAAAACAGTCACAGAAACAAAAATGCATATGAAAATTATTCATCAGTTTTCTAGGTTTAGAAGCACCATTATATAACTTATAGCAGATAAAAGAGGAACAACCATTCGTTCATTCTTCTATGTGGTTATGAGACCATGAGTTCATAACTAACCACAAGGCAAGGTTCTAACATCAGATCCTTGATGGACAATTGGCATGCACGTTCTCTTCACGTTGAAGAAGAAACTTGATGCTGAATCTTCAGTAGTAGTGTTACCTTTATAAAGTTTTGTTTTGCCATCATTTTTGCTTTCTGGTTAATAATAACCAACATTTGTCTCATGCTTTGCAGCTGCAAAATGCTTCCACATGTGATTTTCATTCTCTCAACCCTGGTTCATTAGTTCCTTTGTGTTATGAATATGGAAGCCATTATGTTCAAAGAAATGAAATGACTTGCTCAAGATCACATAACCAGTAAGTGGCAAAGAAAGGATGTGCACTTAGATTTTCTGGCCCTAGATTCCATGCTTCTCCCACTACGGGAACACTGCTTTCCATGAGAAGAATGGTCCCTCCAAAGGGCAATCCTCATTACACATGGTGGCATAACATACAGGTGGCCAGTGAAGAAATAGCAAGTTACGCAGAGAATGACCCGGTGCCTGAGGCTTCCAATGAAAGAGATTTCACACAAACTGTGAAAACTGCTTGTCCTTTAATGTAATGTTGGTTGTCATTTAATCATCTATTCATCCAATAGTAGTTACTGGCAGAGCAGCAGCCATGTCCCCTGAACTGTGAGAACAGGGAGCAAAGGCCTGGCCGTGGCCTCGAGCAGCCACCTTTTGATGAGTTGTAAAATACCTCTCCCCCAGCCGACCGCTTTGCTCTCCTGTTCTTGCCACTTCCAGGCCACGTTATGTACCTGGAATATGAGGATGTCACAGTGAACGTCAAGGAGGAAAGCCTGCTTTGCCAGAGATGTCCCATGGCGTTCACTGAGAGGTCCTGTGGGTCAGCTCCTGGCTGGCCATGTGGGTTTGTGTTCCTGCCAGATGAGTCAGTCGGCATGGGGACATTCATCTGAGCAGAGAAGTGCCAATGTTGCCATGGAGAAAAAAGGCGCCGGCGTTTTGTTCTGGGATGTGCCGTCGCACGCGCTCGTGGGCTGGTCATGAGAAGATGTGTCTGAAGTGTGATCCAAGTCTGCCTGCCACAATTCTAATCCACCCAGTGCAAATGGCTCTTGCCCTGGGCACATCTGAATCTCTTGGGGATGTTTTCAGACCATGCTAACCCCCTGCACACCCACTGCAACCCCGACGAAGGTGCAGAGCCCTCTGTGTCATGAGAGATGATTGAGGAAAATTTAATTCATTGGTTATTTTTAGGATATATTATTTGGGACAAGATCAGGAAGGACGTAAATACCAAAAGGCATTTGAAAGCCAGAAAGGAAGTAATGAGCCATCCTGCCCTCTAGAGATGGTGCAGCTTTAAGACTAGGAACTTTAAGACTATGTTAGGAGTGTTC